GTAGACCCTCTTAATCAGCAGGAATGTTAGAAAAGGGAGACACATGATTCAGGAGTCTGTAGCACTGCCACACATTGGCACTTGGAGGCTGGGTTATACAGCCCAACTTGAAAAACAGGAACTTTCTGGAGAGCGTAACAGGTCCAAGGCCATAAAGCATAAAAGCTGGCTGGAACAGAACATTTTCGGCACAGCATGACACTTGCGTGGCCCACTAACCCTCTGAATTTCCCAGCCTGGAAAGTTGTAGGCAGGAACTGAGGCAGTTGAAGTTATAGAGGCAATCTCAAAACTCAGGAGAGGCTTCTCGATTGCTAAGGAGCACGAATCACATCACTGCAGGTGACAGTGGACTAGAAAGAAGTTTAAGCAGCTACAACTCTCCTGGAACGTAGAACGTGAGCTCTGGGAAATGCCAAGAATCTTCGGCCATGCGAGTCACCTCCACCTCTCCAACCCTGGACAGTATAAAAGGACAGAAGCTGGGTGTGGTTTGCAGTTACACCAGATATGCGTGTGGAGGGCGGGGGCTGTGCTCCTTTCCCGACTTGCAGCCGAAGACTTCTGCATTTGCTTTGCTCAAATAATCAAGGGATCACTAGCGGCAGGAGAAGGCCTTAGACGGCAGCCCCTCAGCAGCCCACAGGTCTGCGGAACCAGCAAGCAGGCCTCTGCTCAGAGCAGAGCTCAGACCGGGCCACGCCACGGCCTGGGGCAGGGGTCTGTCCCGTGAGATGCCACGCCCAGCACCGGGCTTCACGGCCGGAACAGAAGTACGTGCACGTAGCGGGGTGCGTGGCAGGGGCTCCATCTCGGCGGCTTTTCCTACGCAGAACCCTATCTCCTTCGTAGCAATCAATTATCACGTGTTGTGGCTATTTCTCCTCTTTGCTTCCAGAGTCTGTCCCCCAAGAGCTTACGCCTGCAAGCCCGACTCCGAGGCAGCCCGGACCCCGAGGCAGCCAGAACCGCGCCTGGCTCGCGCTCCCCCGAACACCCGAAGCCCAGAGAAAGGCCGCCAGTCCTCCCTGCACAGCGACTCAGGCCAGTGAGGTTGCGAAGCGCAGGGGAGGGCGGCGGGGTCCCGGGGCCAACGAGACTGCGTGCGGGCTCAGGACGGCGGACCAGGGCCCCTCCGCGCAGCGCTCTGGGAGTTGTAGGCACGTTCCTTCCCCTCTCCTTCAGCCGCTGGCTCGCGCAGCCCAAGGACGTCCAGGCGGTGGGCGCCCGGGCGCCCGGGGTACGGGCTCCCCGCCCGGATCCCCCGCGGCAGCCGCCCCGCCCCCGACGGCGGCTTCCTGCGCGTGCCATTATGGGTATCGTAGTTCTGTGAGCTGCGGCCCACGCCCCGTGGCGGCCGGTAGGACTACATTTCCCGTCAGCCCGCCCGCCGCCCGCCCTCGCGGCCCCGCGGCGCCAGACCCTGGCGAGCCGTGTGTCTCCAAGATGGCCGCGTGGGGAAGGAGGCGTCTGGGTCCGGGCAGCAGCGGCGGCAGCGCCCGAGAGAGGTGAGGGCCAGCGGCTCGCGGCTCCCAGGGCGCGGCCCGGTCAGGGAACAGGCGGGACCTCGGCCGCGCGCCCTCCGTGCCTGGGCCCC